GCCTTTCTCATTGTTTTGGAAACAACATATGGGTCAAGGAATTAATCTGCGCAGTTGGACGCGAAGCACGGGAGTTGGGAATTACTTTTTCTTTTGGCGTGCAGCTCAGCCTACCTATTAGAACCTTGCACAAAATTATTAAAAGATGTTGAACACCGTTTGGCTGCCCAATTTCGATTTATTTTTCGGCCTCCCAAAGTCTCAATAGCAACTCAAATTATTTAACTTCAGTTAAAAAAACAATAGTAATCCAAATTGTCCTCTTTTTTATTGAGTAAATTAAGATTGTTTATTAATTAAATTTATCTAACTTGCACTTTTAAAACACAAATTAAAAATATATTAAATATATTTTTTTATAATAAATTTATATTAAAAAAATAAAAATTAACTTTTAATTTATTAATTATTTAATTAAATTTATTTACTTAACACTGATATTAAAATTAATATCATTTTTTATATTTTTTCTATATATATTTATAATAAAAAAAATTACTTAATGTCCTTAAGAATATGTTAAAAAAACCCTTATTAATTTGAAATACAAAAGATACACCTATTCATAATTTACAAATCCAATTTACGAAAAATAACAAATATCTACTATAATAAGTCTACTGAACTTGTACATATATATCTTTAACTTACCCTTTATCCATAAAAATGTTTTAATTTGAATTATCTCCACCATTCTATCATCGGAGATTTCGGTAGCATCAAAAACCTTTATATTTCTATCTCCCCACAGATGCCAAGCAATGGACATAAACATGAAAGACCAGATCTCCTTAAGCTTTCCATTTTGCCATAACTGGGAAAGTTGTCTAAATGCATTGAAAATTGAATCGGATAGCAAGCATTGAATCCCCCACCATGCAAATAATTTATTCCAAATCTGTTGCGTCCATCTACAGTTTATCGTGACATGAGCCAAATCCTCATCCTCTCCACAGCATAATGGACATGATGAGCTTCCTCTCTCCACCAGAATTCCTCTTCTTCTTTGTTGGTAATCCATCCAGGAACATTCTTTGTGCGAAGAAACACACCTTTCGTTGCAAAAGTTTATTTCATACCTGCTCTACATAAATCTGCATCCAAAATCCTTTGACCTCTATTCATTAAACCATATGCTTTCCTGGATGTATACAAACCATTACTATGGAACTTCCATACTCAACTGTCCCACTACTCTTTTGTCAGCCTCACCCCTTCCAACATTTCTAATAATTTTTTCTCATCCTCACATTCCCTCCCACGCAAATTTCTCTTCCATCTAAAATTCCAGCACCAATTATCATTTCTCCATTCCCCCATCTCCTTAATTCATCCTCCCTCATAATTTGTAATTCTCTTCAGCCTAGAAAAGACCTCCCCTAACACAGAATCTCCAATCCACATGTCTTCCCAGAACTTTATTCTATTACCCTCCCTTATCTTCCAGCCAAACCCATTTCCTATCACATCCTTAGATTTCTCCTCTATACCCCACTACAAAAAATATCTTCCATACCTTTGACAACCTTCTACTGTAATTATTCACCCTAGTACCACCCCTACGAATATAATTCTTCTCCCTCAACACCCTTGACCACAAGCCTCCTGCCCATTCCTCAAACCTTGCCCACCACTTACCTAAGAGTGATAAATTCCCAACTCTAAGATTCAACACCCTGAAAACCTCCTTTTGTTATTATCTAAACATAGTTTTTCCCATGAGACAATGAATTTTCCGATTTCCCTACCTTTATTCACGCCCAAGAAACTCTCTTTCAATTTTTTCTAACATATTCACAACAAACAATGGTACCTTAAATACAGAAAAGTAGTACAACAGTAGAGAAGAAAGTACCAAATTTAAGAAGATGAGCCAACTACTGAAGGACAGGGATCTTGTTTGCCAATCTAATAGATTCTTTTGAAAATTTTCCACAATCAGCATCCACATCTTCCTCTTTCTCTGATTATCTCCAACAGGCATACCCAAACAAGCAAATGGCACCACACCTCTTTTACATTTCAGAAATTCTGTAGCTCCCTTCATCCATACCTCATCAAAATGCATTCCAAGAATACTTCTCTTCTTGAAATTTATTTTCAGGCCAGACATCAATTCAAACCATCTTAGGATACCTTTTATGGCCCATATACGCTCCGACTTCGCTTTCCCTATGATCATTGTGTCATCTACAAATTGAAGATGTGAAATACATAAATCACCATGCCAGATCTGCAGTCCCTCAAATAATCCTATCTCAACTGCATTTTTATCAAATAATCCAGTCCCGCTAGAAGAGGAATGGTGATAACGGATTACACTGACTCAATCCTCTTTCCAGTGAGAATTCCTCCATGGGACTTCCATT